AATTCTTATTAGAATTTAACTTTAAAATCATTTATATTAAAGGATCTAAGAACAAAAAAGCTAATACTCTAAGCTAAAGACTAGACTATAAAACCCTAATACCAGAAAAAACCTAAGTTATCCTTAAAAAGAATAAAAATAATAACCTTATTTTAGTACAAAAACTTATTATAATTAACACCTATATTAATACTAGTATAACTAATAGGATAACACCTGAATAGATTATAAAGATTTATAATACTAAGGCCTATAAACACTAAAGAGTTATTAAGATATTTAAAAGAATTTAATAATATTATAATATATAAGTTACTTAAGTAAAAGTAGCTTTAGTAATTAAAGATTATAATATATATAAAAAAAACAAAAATAGTCTATATAAACTATATAAATAATTATAACTACTACTAGTACTATTAGAAGCCTAGTACTTAATCTCTTTAGACTTTATTGTTAAACTCCTTAAGTTAAAAGAACTACTTATAAAAACCTATTATAATAACATATTACTTATTATTAACTAACTTATAAAATACATATACTTTATCTTATACTTAAAGTTAAGTATAATAAGAGACCTAGTATATATATTTTTAAAATATATTATTAATAACTATAAATTACTTAAAGAAATTATATTTAATAAAGATAAACTATTTATATTTAAATTTTAGAAATCTCTGATTTTATAACTAAAAGCTAATTATAAGCTATTAACTGCTTTTTACCTATAAACTAATAAATAAACCAAATAAATTAACTAAATATTAAAATAATATCTATAATATTATGTTAACTATAACTAAAATAATTAAGTACTAATGTGTATGTATAGTGAGTTGCTTATTATAGTGAGTTGTCTACTTCCCTTTTCTTCTACACCTTTCCTCTTCCTCTTAGCTTTACTTTATGTATAATAATAAGTTTTACTTTAAATAAAAGCTATATTCTTTTTGTACTCTAAGCTATTAAAAAAGACCTAAAATTATCTATATAAAAGGCTACTTTTATCTATAATGTCCTAAGAACAATACTTTATGACTAATGCGTTAAATAACTACTATAATAAGAAATATAATTAAAATTAGTAAAGATGACTAAGCTAGAAGAAATAGTGATTCTTAAATAAGTTATTAACTTAATTAATTAAGGATTTTTATTATAATTTAATAATATATAAGATATAGCTAATTACCTCTTTAATAAATATAATATAACGTATATTAGACTTTAATAGGTAAAGAACTTTATATAACGTTAACTATAACTAAAGACGTATTTTTAATATAGAATTAACTATTAGAGGGTATTAGCTAAGGATCCTATAATTATATAAGCCTAGTTTGCTTTTGTATGAAATATAGTTATAAAGTATAGAATTTATGATAACGATATCTATAATTTTAATAAGATAGGCTTTTTAATAGGAATGCTATTATACGCAAAGGTTATTACAACTTTTAACTATAAAAGAAGGCCTTATATAAAGTAGCCTAGTAATTATAAATAGGTTTCTGTTATTTAGGGTATATATATAGATGGCTAGGCGTTACCTTTGTACGTTATTGTTAAAAGCAAATATTACCTTTTCTCTTAGTATACTAATAGCTAACTTTTACCCTAATAGCGTGTCTACTTTAGCAAAAATAGATAAACTATAAATAAGATTAGCTTAAATTAGCTATAGTATTTTAAAAAGTATATAAAGTCTTATATAAAAGGTATTAAGTAGCTTTTAATTTTTAATAGCTATAATAGCTATAAGTCTACTAAGTTTAATAATTACTATAAGGAATATAGTATTATTGCTTTTTATATACCTCTTTATTTATTATATAAGCTTTAGCTTCTTAATATTAGCTATTTTAGTTTATTAAAAGTATTATATAGTAAAGAAATTAAGAAAATAATATAGATATAGATTATATATATTACTAAAAATAACTTTTTTTTTGCCTTTAAAGTAGCCTTTTTTACTTTAATAGGTAAAGAAAATATATAAGCTGGTTTTAGATAAGCTAACCTTATACCTTTTAACCTAGAAGTAGTTATTTCTTACCTAGATTTTAAGCTAAAGACGCTAACACTATTTAACTTATGCCTAAGTAGCCAGGGCTCCTAGGACCTAAAAACACTAACTATAATATATAACGTTATATAAAGCTTTATATTACTTAAGAAAAGGATTTATAGTTATTAATATAGTTTATTAATATACTTATATAAAGTAGTTAACTTATAAGCTAAAGGTATTACTAAGTTAATATATTAATTAGTTCTTCTTAAGGCTAAGAACTATAGGCTTTATATAGCAAATAAGGTATTAAGTAAGCGCTAGAGGGCTAAAAAAACCTAACTACGTCTTAGAGGGTTACTTAATATAGCTAAAGCTAAAGTAATTTAAGTAGAAAAGAGGGTTATTAATGCTAGAGGCAAAAATATGCGTTAAGAGGAGGCTTATATAGAGGAGGGTGAATTGCGTGGTTAGTAATATAGTAATTGCAGAAAGACTAGACATAATGTATAAATATGTTAGGTAGTATAAGAGACCTCTAAAGAAGAGGATAATAAGTAGTTTTAATTAATTTTATATAATGCTGTTTGATTAACTTATATAAATGGCTAGAGGGTAGGTAGAAGTAGGCGACTTACTATGATAGGCGACTCACTATGCATGTACGTTACTACTACTAATAGCCTAATTTACTTATAATAATACTATAAAAGAAAATACCTTAAACTTTCTATTTTACTTAAATTATAGATTTAAGCTTATAGTATATAAAGAACTTTAATAAGGACTATAAGTACTAAAAGCTATAATAGATTATAATAAATTATAAGAAATCTAAAAAAATATTACTAAAGATCTTAAATTTATTAAGGCATAAATAAAGAAATACATTAATATATTAAGGATTAAGAGACTAACCTTTAAAAAAAAAGAAAATATATATCTTTTATAACGTAATATTAAAATAAAACAACTAAATAATAAATTAAACTATAAAAAACTTAGACCTTTTAAAATTATTTAAAAAATCTTAAATATTAACTTTAAACTTAACTTATTAAATATAATAAAGATTTATCTAGTCTTTTATATTACTCTATTTAAACTAATACTATAAGGATTAAATACTAATAACTATATTATTATAGAACTAAATAAACTAAAGTATAAAGTTAAATAAATTATTAATAAGTAAAAAGAGAACAAAAAAATATAATATTTAATTAAATAGAAAAAATATAAATATAAAAATAATTTATAAGAACTAGTTAAGAACCTTTAATACTCTTAGTAACTCCTTTAGGACTATTATAAGTCCTAGAACCCTTAACTACAAAACCCTTAATAGGTAGCTTACTAAAGGACTACTAAGATAAGTTACTAAGATTAAAAGACTTAAAAAAAGACAAGTTAATTACATTAAAACTACTACTAGCCTGTACCTTGTAAACTGCCTTAACTACTAGATTAATAAATAAATCTATAGACTACTTAGTAATAGCTTTATAACTTCTCTTAAAAATTATTTGCTTTTTTTTATTTAAATAATTAAGCTAAATAAAAAATATATTTATTTTTACTTATATAAAACAAAATAACTTTACTTATTTTTATAATAACTTAACCTTTTAATAAAATAACTTTTTTTTTTATTTTTTAGCCTTATCTAAATAATTAGCTTTATTTAATAAGTAATCTACTATAATTATTAGAAAATCCTATATTTTAGAACCTTAAAAAACACTTATATTTATAAATTATATTATTATTACTATTATAAAAATAACCTTAATAAGTATACTCTTAATATTTCTAGAAACTTATAAGTATCTTATAGTAGATCCCCTTAGAACAATATTAACTATATAATATCTTAATTTTAATCTTATACTTACAAATCCTTAAGGAATCTATAAGATAACACTTAGTAAAAAAAGCCTTATTAAATTTAAGGGTATTTAACTTTATTATATTAGTTACTAATAACATAGTGAAAGAAGAATAAGAATAAGATAAACCTAGGGATAACCCTTAATAGGAACCTACTTACCTATATAGGTCTAAGGGGCTAGACCTTTAAAGGGGAGACCTAATGTTATGACCTAGAAAGCGTTGGTTAACATAACCACCTGGAACGAACCTACAGAGAACCAGGGGATAATTAGACTTATATATACCTAACTATAGCGTTTATAGGTAAAGGTTAAAACAGAAGAACTATAGATAAGTTATGTAATAATAAGGAAGTAATTAAGAGATAAGGTGATTACTAAGAGTAATTACTAAGTAAATAGCTTACCTTAGGCCCACTTTAGTTAATTACTACTAACAATATTATAATAAATAGATATAAGTATATAAATAAGACTTAAGCCTAGAACTTAAGGACTCTTTATAGCTCTTTAATAATCAACTTCGTGATTTACTCTCTTATAAGTGACTCTTAGATTATCCTTCTGTTGTGAAGCTATAAAGCTATCTACGCCTAGACGTGCCTGACTGATCACCAGACACCAACAGACCAGCAAGATTACCAACAAGACTTACCTTACTGTTACCGAGTATCGACCTCAGCTGCCTATTAGCAGAAAACACCACTGTCGGATATCTGACCGTAACACTGTAGAGCCAACAAGTACCTTGCAATGCTTTGGCAATTATACCCAGGAAAATCGACGATATTTATTATTCCAGCCTTACCCATATGGTACAAGTTAGCCAGTGCCTAGTCGCTATCAAAGCAGCCGGCTAGTATCGGAAACTATCATGGACACAGCTCATTTTATCATCAGACACTTTAGATTCATATTTCACAGACTCCGACGGAAATTTGAAGGCATTGGTTTTCAAGTGCATGGAACCTGGAAATGCTAAGCGTACAAATTGAAAACCTGCTCGTTACCCAATCCTGTATCTGAGGCTCGACAAAATTCCATTGACCCCCATTCTAGTCTATCCAACTTAAGAATCCATACTGAAGCGCTTAAACACCAGAGTCATCCTGCTCAATGCTGTTCTCCTCCTGGAAGGTAGACCAAGTGCTGCAAGTATCGGTGAGAGTAGTGTTATCAGTGATGGCAGCAATCTCACTGAGGCGCTCGACAAACTGCACCGAGAAGCCCTCTGATGTGTGCCAGCCAATGTGGCAGTGCATGAGCCAGGCACCCGGGTTGTCCGTCTCCCAGGCCATGACAAGGTATCCCGAGGCGGGCAGCATCGCCGTGTCTCTGCGGGGCGGGTTGGAGGTGTTGAGTGTGACAGAGCTCGAGTAGGTACCGGTGCCTTGGGCAAGGATGGAGAAGTCGTGGCCATGAAGGTGGATGGGATGAGGGACAGCGAGAGTGGTCTCGACAACGAAGTGAACCCACTGGTTAGCCTCGCTGAGCTCGATAACGGCGTCGTCCGTCTCCCAGCTGGTAGTACCGTTCATGATGGACTCAAGAGTGGGGTTGGCCCAATCAACGACCATACTAGTGCTATTGAGGTACCACTTGAAGAGGCCAGCGGAGTTCTTGCCGACAGTAGCTTCATCGAGCTTGTCCCAGTTGGCGTCCGAGACCGACTTAGAGAGGTAGGGGACGATGTTATCTGTCTCGTCGTCACAGCTATCAGTGTAGGTGTAACCAGTAGTGGTGGGAGTGGTGATGGTGCCAGTGTACGAGATAATGCCCTTGATGTTGTCGGTGCTGTCGTTGTCAGAGCAGGCAGCCTGAGGGATGGCACGCATCCAGAAGTTGTCGGCCGTGCTGGCCTGGTCTGCAGTGACGATGATGTCATATCGCTGGCCCATGCCAATGTCAAGGACCGTGGTATTGTAAGGGGTGATCGGGACTAAGTCGGTAGCGATGACCTGCATGGTGTGGTTGTCGATTGAGAACTTCCAGTGTGTGTCGACGGCGGCATTAACAAGTCTCATGCGGTAAGAAGTGCCGGATTCCCAAGTAACGTTGTAACGGTAGCCGGTCTGGGAGGTAGAGTCATCATCACCGTAGACGTTGGTGCCATTGATGAGACCATTGTCCAGTGTTGGAGGACCGCTGGACTCGGCGGTGTAGTAGAGCTCATCGACGGTCTGATGATCCCAGTCGTTCAGGAAGAGCATGCCAAGATCTTCATCGTAGTTGGCTGTGGCAGGGCCGTTGATGACGATGCCACCAAAGACACCCTGCCACGCCTGGAGGGCGAAGTGAGAGTGGTACCAAGTCGAACCGTATTGGATTGCCTTCCAGGTGTAGGTAGTGGTGTCACCAGGAGCAGTAGGACATTGGGTGATGGAGCTGACACCGTCATTCTGGTTGGTATAGTTTTGTCGGATACCGTGGAAGTGAATGCTGGTGCCGTTGTTGGAAGTTGTCAGAGAGTTGATGACGTGAACTGTGACGGTGTCACCCCAGTCGGCAAAGATAGTAGGTCCGGGGATGGAGCCGTTGACAGCCATGGCAGTTCGAGAAACCCCATCCGGCGAAACAGTAACGTCCGTAAGCTCGAACCAGTACTCGCGAGTAACACCGGTGTCAGGCGCCTCATTCAAGTAGTCGGTGTCAACGGAGTAGTCGCACCACTCACTTCTCGTGCTAGCAGTGTTGCCGCTGCAAGTAGCACGAGGGAACAAATTGGGCTCGCTGAGAGAGCCAAAAGAAGGCAAGGCAGAGGCCAAGGAGCCCGCGAGGGCCCCGGCCACAATCAAAGATTGAAACATAATGATGATGATGATGATGATGCGTGCCAAGTGAAAGACGAAAGAAGGACGGCCTGACACAATATACAAAGTGGAAAAAAGAATATAGCGAGCGGGGACGCAGCTGAGCTGTGCCGGGTACTGGGCGAGTGACAATAGCATCAAACATGCAACGGTTGGCAATAGCTTAAGTACGCCGCAGATAGTATTGGCTTCACGGGTGACTAACGGGAAGTACTATATTTAACAAGGCTGAATACTCTATTTCCCCATTGAAGACCTGGTAGCGGGTTTCCTCTTCCGACCAATTCGGTCCTATTTCAGCCGCTTGAGCCGCCGGCATGGGCTATCCATGGCTGTCTACAAGTCGGATTAGCCCCAGTAGGTTAAAGATCGCCAATGCGTCATTCGATTCACTGAGGGGAAAGGCTGTTCCTCAGTGATGGAGAACCACTTTATCGCGACGAATCCATCTCGATGAAGGGTCAGCTTGAGACAGACGCTTTCCAGGTCTATGCGTGGCCGTATAGGTCGTAAGGTAGTACGTGTATTGTGAGCCGCAGTTGGGCTGACTCGCAAACAGATGAGGCTTGTTTTTGTAAGCGAGACTCAGCTCGGGGGTAGCTGCATCATCTTGGCCGTCGCCCCGCTCAAGCCTTGCAAGGCTACCCGTTTTTCAAGTGTGAAAGCCTAGCTGGTAGTCAACTGGTGACCCGATGGCCGGGCTCTCGGGCTGCTCCGGCGTGTGGGCAAGCTCGGAGGAGCCGAGACGGCCAATGGACCCGCAATGTAGCTCTTGAACTGGAAATCTTCGGTTCCGATCATCAGTAAAGCCCCTCTATGTTCGAGGGGTCCCAAAGGCTCGCAAGGATGTGATAGGTATTCGTCGTCTCTTACGAAGCCTCTTCTCCTTACGTAGTCCCATGCCAAGCTTTACCTATGTTGTGATGAGTCGTAATGGCCTAGACCTATATTATTGCCATTATATATCAAGCTCCCGGGAGAATCCACAATTCCCGTGCCCCCATTTATTCCCCAATTTATCCCACATGCCGAAACAAATCATAGTTGACAGGCCGCACTACCAGGATTTTCCTAGCCGCCAGTAAATGAAAATGACTCCCAGTGAGTTCCAGTTGGCTGATGGCTATTTCCGTCCCTTCTCCTAGCGGGAAGACTGACAGATATCGAACGGCCATGACCTATGCATTAAGAAAACATGGTGATGGAAGGGCTCTCCGTCACTGTCGTGGTGGAGTCCGGTTCTCGTCACTATGCGCTGTGACTTGATGATTGCGGCTTTTCTGCCCATAGTCACTGTTTCGGATTGGAAAAAGTAACTATCTCTGCTGCCGTGCATTGGTGGGGGTGGAAAGTGGCGGGCAAGCAAGCAATGCCGGTAACCCTTTACGGCTCGTACGGATGAATTGAACTGCACTATTTCACTTCACTTTTATTTAACCAACCCGTCCCTCCTTCCGATCACTTCTCGGGATCCCCCACCACATCCGGTTCTCTCAATACGATAACTTTCATTCAGTTCCCCGTCCCCTTTCGAGTCTGCTACAGCCTCATCCGATCGTTCAGCCGTCTTCACGTTTTTTATCTTGAAGTCTCAACCCTTATCGACATGCAGTCCGTTTGCGCTCTCTTGCTGTCGTTCGCGGCTCTCGCGGCTGCGGCTCCGGCGGAACACCTGCCGCGCGCTGTTTCTCAAGATAACAGCAAACAGTTCCAGATTTACGCTTATGGCTCCGGAATCGGCGGTCTTTCCATGTTCTCTGCAGGAGGTAGTAAGGCTGGTTTCACGAATTATATCTAGGGAATGACAAGAGTTTCTCCAGAAGCCTTGATCATTCTCATCTTCCTGTTTTTTGTTTTGTTTTGGATAACCTGTCCAGCTCGGGTTTCGTTACTCTCTCTTATTGGGTCTAATCTAATAATACTGTCCCTAGGCGACGCTTACTTCGGCGACCATACCAAGTTCAACGACTCTAATGCAGCCCCTGTAATCTGTATGTTTACCACTTGGCTCCTCCCCTTCTCGACATAGATAAAGCTAACACTCCTCCAAGTCACCCCCACTAACAACAACGTCTGGCTCGGTGCCCCCAATACCACGGCCCTCAACTCCACCACCCCCCCTGACTGGTCCAACCTTACCTTCTCTGTTCCTGCCGATGGTGCCTCCAGCCATGACGTCGGATTCGTCAACTCTACTTCGACCTCTTCCGATCGTAGGACCAGCGGCTTCGTATTCTACGGTACTTTCATCCTTGTTCAAAGTAGCTCCGGCGGCATGGAGTCTATGTGGTATGCTACGCCCAGCTCCATTGACGGCATCTACACTCTCAAGTGGAACGAGACCGGCGACTCCACCGAAGATAAGATCGTCCTTACTCTCAAGAAAACGCCGCCTTCCAACGCCAGCAAGACCAAAGCTCGCGATGCCTAGACGAAATGCTTTGAAGTAGTTTAGTTCTCTCGGCTGCCAACCCACCAATCCACTGGAAGCAACGTGTCCTCGCTTCAATTTGGTTAAAGAACATTTGGATCAAGATTTAGGGTAGTAAAATCGACACACGATAGGGAATAGAACACGGGTTATATATGTCAAATGGCGTGAAATTCTTTAATTCATATTAAACCTTTCCATGCCAACCCTTTGACGCTAAAGCCATCCTTTCGTGACGTTACAATAATAGTACATAATTCGTGAGTCTAGCGATGCTCGCTAGCAACCTCCTCAGCAGAGGCGGGCAAACGCTCTTCCGCGCCAGGAACAGCGGAAGCGTTCTTGGTCTTACCGCGAGAATCGGGCTCCTGATCAACATCTAGCCGACGTTCTCTGAAGTTGTCCTTGCCAGAGGCACCGAGGCCCTCAAGTCCTGCACTCTCCTTTTTGCGGTTTCCCGGGTGAGCGCCATGCAGCTCGCGGCTGGTCTGACCCTGCATGGGCTTACCGAGACCGGTGTGGACATCTGCGCTGGTAGCGCCGGGGAAGTCGTTAGCGGCGGTGTAGGTCTTGGCCTCGGGGTTCAGAGCCTGGCCAGGAGTGTCTTGAGCGTTAGGCTGGAAGGTGTTCTCCTTGGGTGCTGTGCCGGCGGGATATGTTTGAGCGTGGAACTCAGGGTAGGCATCGTTTCCGACCTTGGTACCCGGGGCATGCTGCCTAATGTTAGATCTTTTTTTCTTTTTGACAACTGCGGAATGAGAAACTTACGCCCTTGGTGGTTAAAGGCTCGGAGCGAGGGACGCTAGGGTGGAATTCGCCCTGCTTGTTGTTGACGGAATCGACATTGCGGTTGACAGACATTTTGGTAATATGTGGTTCGGTAACGTTGATATTGGTCGATATGAAATATTCAAGGGTTTATCTCGGCGAGTATCTTTGTGCTGTTCGTAGAAGTTGTATCGATTGATCTGAAAGACTGTCTTCTTCCAACAGCTGTTGTCCGCTTAAGTATTGTATCGTCGGTTGCGCAAACGCCATAGTGAGCGCAGTTGAGGTGCGTATGATGTCACCTCGAATATTACATCACGGCCGAGGAGATGAGATAAGAGCGCCACTTTTCCGTGGAGAAAATGAAGGAAATGGTGGGAGGACCCTTTAATGATGTCAAGCTAGCCAGGTCGGAAACAGAGGTAGTTACCAATGAAGAGCAATTGGCAAATCGAGATTGAACATTTGATGCGGGATCCAGTGTTTTGGGTGGGTGATGTTGGGCGATCCGATCGCCACGGAGCCGTCCGTGATCAGAGCCGTGATGCGGAGTTTTTTGTCCGGCTGCTCTCGGTGTGTCTCGGTAAGCTCACTGACCTCCTCCGCAATTCACCGAGATGGAACAAGATGGAGAAAGAGTTGATATGACGTACGGAACAATCCACTTGCTGAAGATCTGCGGCTCCCAGCTTGAGTACCTAGCTTGGCTCAACCGGTGCACCAAGCTCCTTCCAGAATCTTCGAACATTCTAGCCCCGAAGCCCTAATGGAACCTCACCAAGGCACATTCTCCGAGGTATCATCATAACGTTTCCACAACAACAACATTCGTGATGTTTTAGCGCGATGCAGAGCCGTCTGCCTCCTGACTATCAAGGCAAGGCTTCATTAGTTGTGTTTTCGATTAACTGCAGTACCTGCAGCTTTGGGAGCAGAGGCCCGTCTTTCGGTCGTTGCTTGTTTCCCTTGATGAGTTCCTGAATATCCTCCAACTGCTGTAACCGATAGGTATCATTTGCATCATTGCACCACTTTTCCAACTTCCCTTTTTGTCGCTCAAACTGCGCCAGAGTCCCCATTGGACAGTCGACATGGCAGGCAATGGATATTAATAAAAGCCTACGAGCAGAACTATGAAGCTCGTCGCGATAATCTTTGTATTCATTTCCTTGGGCATAGCGGCAGTCTGCCAGCAAAGAGCAAGTCTTCCCGTAGTGGGATTTGGCGTCCCTTATATCGGCCTGTTTGATCTCGGCGGCCATTTCTTGATCATTGAGATACTGCTCGGCCCTGTTGTAGCAATCTTCTGCCATATCGAGGACATCTTTATTGAACTGCCCCTCGCCCCTCTGGTGCAGTAAGAACGTGGTAACCGATGATGAAAAAGCTGAATTGCAAAATCAGCTTGTGGTCGTGTTCATACAAGTGTTGAACGTATGATCTCCTATTTAACGCCATGCCCAGGATTCTGTTGTCTTTTTGGTTTCTGTTCTTTGCCTTCTTAGCATTGAGCAAGAACATGAGGTAAATCATCACCAGACTTCTTTGCCCGAGGACTTTGAGGACCTTGCTTTCAAGGTTTTCACAGATTCTCTCAATGAACTGTTGGAACTTTTTGAAGTCTGGAATTACCAGTAGACGACGGAGCCGGTGTGCCAGATATACAAAGTCGTCGTTCGGGGAAAGGATTTCCAGAGAGGATGCAGCAAGACATTTTGCCAGTTCCTGAATAGCACTAGGATCCAAAGACTGATTAACGGTGCTTAATATACCGATTGGCATTGCTGGATGGAAGTTTTTGAGTAAATCTTTGACGTGCTCGCCCAAGGAGGCGGTGGCTGCTGCAGATGGCTTGTTTACGAGGCAGCCTCTAATTTGGCTTTCGTATTTGAGGTCCTCCTGTAGTGTTCGATATATTGTGATATGATCGTCTGTCGGTGTCCATTCTTCCAAGGCCGCACCGACAGGCCTTCCGGGAACCAGTCTGGACAGAATGGAAGTTGCAAAGTTTACTATCTCTGTGCACAATACGTCCGGATCAATGCTCGTGTCCTCTGGATCGTACGCAGTGGGCGATCTGTACCCCGGGGTTGTTGCTGGTGTTGGTGGAAATGACCTTGGGGTGCCGACATAAGTCGTAGAGCGAGTCTCTAACCTAGGATCATTGGGATAGGGTGATGCACCAGGAGGTGTCAACGCAAATGAGAAACTGGACGATGGCTGTGCACTAGGCTCGTTACGACAGTCGTCGCCAGGGTTTGGGATAGCGAGCCCTGATTCCGAGGTGGCATCAGAAGAACATTTTCTCTTTTCCAACGGCTTTCGATTTTGTCGTTTGTTCTTCTCGATGCCCCATGATTTCAATCTGCCTTTGTACATACGCTCTCTAGTGCCGCATCAGCATCGTGTATGATGATTCACAGCCAGTAGAGGGCTCACGTCGCGTTGAATCCATAATCCTCTTTGAGACGCGCCCTGATGGCCTTGAGTGTCTGACGCGTGTACAGCTCTTCAATGAGCTGCCGATAACTCTCCCATTCCTCTGTAGTCGGCGGCACAGGCATGGCAGCGGGGCTAAAGGCCGTTCGACTATCCACAACAGTCGTCGACAGCGGCGCACAACGGCATAGAATAATGTGACGAGAATCGGAAGGCGGGGGAGAGCGGTAAATGCAGACACTGCGACGGCCACAAGCATTGACATGGGGGACACTTTATGAATTGTGCGACGGCCACAACGAATTAGCGCAAGCCCAATGGAGATGCCAACAATGAGCTGCATGCTGAGAGGTGTTGATCCACCCAATGGCAGTGAGGCTGTTCTTCAATGGGTGTGAGATCCACAGGCGATTCACCACTCAATAGAAAGTACCGTGCATATTTGATGGGTCTGAACTTGTTAAACCTAGGCTCGACAGCACGCAGATTGAGATGGCGCACCATCGTGCTTACCGCCATAACAAGGCAACCTTGGGCGCAAGGCAAACTAGGGCGGGAGTGTCATATTGTGCCTTGACAACGAGGCAATTATTTGCACATTTTTGCGATGCGTCAACTTGAACCCGGGCTGTTCATTTGTCAGTGCTATGCATTGATGATCTGGCAATTGCCTAGCCGTGAAGCCCCAATTGTCCATGGAGGGGCTGATTGAACCTGACTCTGTGATTGAAGGATAGTGCCAGAACAGAGAGTGACCTACCAAATCCGGCGAAGAATGCATGAACTCGCCAACGCAACAGCGACGTTTTCCTTTCTTTGTCATTATACAATTATTTGTAGGTAGTTGCGAGGTGGTGTCTCCAACAGCCTCCCTCAACACAACAGCTTGTGTGTAAGTATGTGCCTGAGTCAAGGTAGGCAGGTAGGACATAGTGTAGTAAGAACAGTCACTTTTATCATGTTGACATCAAAGGAGAAACAGGTCAGTTGAATCGAGCATGGTTGGCAAACATTCAAAAACGTACAGGTGGGTAACCCACAGCATACTAGTAATCTTGATGATTTTACACAGAGTCAACAGCACAGACCGTCAAAGCGATTCCGCCTAGCAAGTGGGTCTTCATGAGTTTGCTCACAAAGTTTACGGTGAACTAGCAGCTCGTTGCCCAGAGCTATGGATAAACAACGATGCATGCGGAGGAAGACAACCGTTCTTTTGAGGTCCGCTTCTGGATGAATATCCAACCGTAATATTCATCATTTAAATATGGGTTTTGTTCTTCATTTAAACAACTCTCGGTATTGGAATTGGAAGACTTGTGAATTTCGTCCTACTAACCGCCGAAAAGTTAATCTGTTAGTCCAAAGGAGTATGTCATGCTGTTCCGCTATGAAATTGATAAAACTAGTTAACACAAAAAGCTAACTATCGTTCAAGTCGACAGCGTGAGGGATGAGGGAAGGTACCCAATGTCAAGCCAGAACCTGCACCTCCAACTCGACCTGTAGGTTCGGCTCCATCCAGTACGGCTAGAATCGGTACAGGGGCGTGACAAAGTGCCTCACGAGGCGTCCTCTTGCGCTTTGGTAATAATCGAAATCCAAACCTGACGCGGCCTCCTGTTCGTCGGCGGCGTACGTGGGCCTTGTTGAGGCTATGCGGTGCATGGACTCGGGTGGAGCCGCCCCTTTTTCGGGACAGAAACCCTACATAGTAGTTTGAAACATCGGTCTTTGGCGGCTGATGCTCCGCAGCCCTAACCGTCCGTCTTGTGGGGTGTTTTCGGGTGTGCCGCTCGGGAGGCGGGAGGGTGATTAGCCTCGTAGGCCGGTACAAAGCGATCCAGCACTCGTTTGAGCGCCATATTGCTATCGCTCCAAGTTCTGAATTGTATGATCAAAGCTGTTATCGGTTTCTGTGTCAATTTTAAAGCGTCCAGCCATTTTTTTTCACTTCCGCAAGACGTCTTACTCTAAGGCACGACTTTCCTCATCTTGAAGCAGTAGTTTTCATATAAAGCATTTCTGAGTATTGAACTCTTCTTTGACAATCTGTCAAGTGGCATCATGATCTCAAAATTTCTCAGCTAACTTCTCACATAACAGTAATTTTTACCGCACTATATCCTCGTCTTGAGTCACAATTCTGCGTAGAATTAGCATCGAAACTCGACAGAGACTTTATTTCGAGGATGCACCCAACACTGTGATTGGTATCGAATGGGCATGGTTGCGCCGACCTGAAATAGGCTGCCTGTGACCGGATTCGGAAATAGCGCTCGCTATCAACTTGTGCTCTCCCGGCACCAAGTCCAGAATCACATTCCACCTTTGCCACTCAAAGTCTACCCTGGACCTTAATTTCGCCTCAGACCATGACGCCCCAGCGTCTGCGCTGACCAAAACCTTGGTCACATTCTCATTGCACCACGCCCATCCTTCGACTTGCAAGGCGTTATTAGCCACAACGGCCCCAGGCTCTGGTCTTGTAATGACCGAGTTGACTTCGACCTCCCAGACAGGCCGTATCCTCTTGCCGTCGGGGTCCATAGGATCGATCTCGTTATAAAATTTGGTTGTGTAGGGCCCTTCTGCTCGTCTGTTCTGTAGTGATAACCGACAGAGCCACTTCGTCATATTTGTTCCGAACCAGCCTGGGACAACAAGTCTGACAGGACCCCCTCGCTCCTTGCTGAGTGGATCTCCGTTCATTTCGTATGCAACAAGGACTTCTGGGCTGAGCGCTTTTGCCATTGGCAAGTCTTTCTGATAGCGTTCGGCTGTGACGCCGCCGAACGTGCCATGGTCAAGTCCATCAGACCACACGTATGCGGCCTCCCGGAGCGGCTGAGCGAGGGCCAGCAAGTCCATTAAAGGGACGCCAGTCCAGGTTACGTTTCCAATGCGCCAGACCGCGTTGATTGGTGGGCTTAATGGGCTCCCGTAGCACTCATGGAATGCTGTCACGGATTTGCGTGGTAGCTGCTTCAGCTGGCCGAGAGACAGCGAAAAGGGTCGTGCAACCAGGCCATCAACCACCATAATCCATTTGGTGCTGTCCACGACGGCGGCGCCCATATGAATCGTGTGAAAGAGCCGATCGTCGGGCGTAATGAAGGCATTGAGGAGGTGCGGTTCCGGAGGATGTCGGATGTAAAAGCCTACAGGGTCGATTGCATGGCATGCCTCGCGCTCTTTCCCCTCTGTTGGGGCGTAGAGAAGACAGAGGTTGTCTGTGTCTCTAGACATTGCGGAAATCGAATCCAAACCAATCATTCCCACATGTGGTAGCTGGTGTCACCATTGCCTTGAAAGAGAAAGCCTCAAGGTTGAACTGCCATGCATGCTCGCGATGAATTGCAAGGTAACTAACGGACCAAATGCCAAGATCGGCAGGCTTTTCAAACTGGACGCAACGATTACTTGATCGTTTTGAAGAAGCGACTTGTAAAACTTTATTCGTTGTTGCTTTAGTAACTAGAGCTAGGGTTAAATTAGCGTTGATTCGACACTGTGGCCCGAAATGTCACCACTCGGTAATTGCGGGGTTTGAATGGGGGTGCAATGCGGGCGGGCTTGGGGAGAATTAGAAGCCGCCGCCAGATCATTACTATCGGACACAAGAAGAAGCTCCGAAGGCTTATTTACTTAGCATGTGAGGCATCAGCAACCGCAGTATCCAGGATTTCAGCAAGCTCTCAATCAAACACCCAGTCATCGTTTGCCGATCAAAAGCTCTCTAGTCATGTCTAATGCAATTCGGATTGCTGCGTGTCACGTCTCTCCCGTCTTCCTCTCCGCACGCCGAACAACAGAGAAGGCAGTCTCTCTCATCCAACAAGCCGCCAAGCACAAAGCAAACCTCATCGTCTTCCCCGAAACCTACATCCCTGCGTTTCCCATTTGGTCCGCTTTACGACCGCCGACGGAAAACCATGATCTCTTTAAACGAATGGCTCTGGAGTCTGTCTACGTCGACGGCGAAGAGGTCAATGCCATTCGTTCCACGGCAAAGGAGTTGAACGTGATGGTCAGCGTGGGTATTTCTGAAAAGGTGCGGTACAGTAGTGCGACCTTGTTTAATTCAAACATCATAATTGGCAGCGATGGCGAGATTCTCATCCACCACCGAAAACTCATGCCAACCTTCTTCGAGAAGCTAACGTGGTCGCCTGGCGATGGCTATGGGCTCCGTGTCGCAGAGACGCGCTTCGGCAAAATTGGCAACCTCATCTGCGGCGAGAACACAAACCCACTTGCCAGATACGCGCTCATATCCCAAGGAGAGCAGATTCACATCTCTACATGGCCGGCGATCTGGCCGACCAGGATATCGGGGTTCGAAGCCGCGCAGGCTGACAAGCCGAAATTAATTGCGTCCGGGGTTAATACAGGTGGCGGATCAAGCGTCGCCAATGGCGCCAACTACGACAACGTCGCTGCCAACAGAACCCGGGCTGCAGCACATTGTTTCGAGGCCAAATGCTTTGGAGTTCTCTGCTCAGGGGTCCTCGGCGAGGATGCCATTGAGACAATGGTGGCTGGATCCAGCCAAGCAGAGGTTGTTAAGCGGTCCCTGGAGAACTCGCAGCGTGGAGCGACCATGTTCCTCGATCCTACTGGGACACTACTGCCGGGGTTCACCATCGACAAGGCCACTGAGCAGAAACCGACGGGATACTTACAGAGTGTAGAAGGAATACTGTATGCGGACCTAGACAATGGGGACTGCATTGAGGGAAAGCAATATCACGATATTGTGGGCGGCTATCAGCGCCTAGATGTTTTTGACCTCAAAATTGACCGTAGACGTCGGTTGCCCGCAACCTTCACCAAAGATATCTCCTCATCTTAGCTAGTAAGAAGAGACTTGATATTGGGGAACTGAATATATTCCATGTTACTTTCTGCCTTCCGTACGCTGGCTTAATGTTACAGACTGCTGGGAAGCTCGTTTCACCACGTGCATCCTTGCTGTTAGCTACAAGGATGTAGAATATGCATAGCATCTAGTTCTTGACACTCGAGATTTGGGTGTACTATATTGTCATAGTTTGTTTGGTCTCTGCTACCAATTGCAATTGTTTCGGGCTGGTGCCTCAAAGAACGCCTTTACACTAGAAGCTGTAATACAAGGGCATATTAACCCTACTTCGAGTCCAGACTTGGCCTATTTGTCAAGTTGCGGATTTGCCGTATTACCCTCCCATGTCACTATACCGTCTTATTAGCAAGGACCCTTAGTTAAGGTTCCCGCCACAGGATGTTCAGTTGCTGTTGTCTCCTCGAGTAGATGAGACAGAGTCGCGTGATGGCGTGACGGCGTAGGAGCTGCTCGCAACCCGTTAATCATGCTCAACAGCGAAGAGCATGAAATTGTAATTCCTCGTTCGGATGTAGTAATAAGACGACTACATTCTGCCTGTGGAAATCCCCTCGCCCTCATGAAGATGAAGTGCCCGGAGCAACCCACGGAAGACGGATTTGCAGATGATGTCATGCTAGAGATACATGATGGCTTATCGGCTTATCTGGGGTGTAGACAATGGCTAGTCTTGGGACATGATTCATTCAGGTCACGTGGTACTCCACGTCATTGTTCACATGACTTCGCGTCTTCGTTATGAAGGTGGTGATGATCCGTGCGTAACAATCGGTTTCCGTCATTGACGATGTAGACTGTGGGGGACGCTGCACTGAAAGTTACTCGTCTCCAGTGAGCACACTGGATGCTGCTTGAAAAAGCAGTAGGACGATGTGGCAGACCTTCTCGTGGTGTCCGGTGTCAGTAGGAGTGGCGGGTGTGGCGCGGTGTGTCGCGCGCGGTCGAAAACCCGCGGTTGGATGGTGCTATGAAAATTTTCATCGGCACTCTCGAACCTACAAACGGACTACGCGATCAACGACCGCCGCACCATCCACGCCATTTCCGAAGCCAACATGCTACACGGGGGATACTGGCGTAAGAAAACCATCCGACTTGACATTGGCTGACGTCGATGAAGAGACAGGACACCCTCCGGCCCATCCGGCTCTGGGCTCGGGAGGCGGACGAGTCGAGCATCATGAGGCATCGGCGCGTCTCCCGGCGAGGGCTCGCAACAAGCCTACGTGCTCTGGTCGAGCGTAATGGAAGTTGTTAAGACCGACGGGTTGGCATGGTGTCAGCAGACTTGTTAAGCTTCGAGCACAGGAAAAGCGGCCGGACCGATCCCGAGGACACAGCGCACCGCGATCGAGCACCATACGGCGGACATGGGTTGGGTTAGTGGACAGAGTGCGAGTAGTCGTGCCGGCGTGATGGCTGCTCTGCGCCTCTGATCTGCAAGACATGGTCGGCTGCGAGTCGGAGACGAGTCGCGGTAACGGGAAGCTGGATCTGGGGTTGCGCCCGGGGTTTCCGGTGGGCCGTAGCGCCGTGGTCGTGACCAGAAGGCCGCGGGGGAGCTGCGTTCCCAGTTCGTACCTGGGCCGTCGCTTGGACGCGGTATCGCCGGTACATTTGATGCACTCCCAGTTCGTACCTGGGGCGTCTAAGAAGACGTGGTATCGCCGGCGCAGTAGCCCCTGCACTTGAGACCTGCGGAGACGACACGGTGGCTCGAGAGGACGGAGGCGCATGTCGGTCGGTTCAGAGACGGGACTGCCGTTGCGGCCGGCTTAAGGTGCAAACTCGAACGACGCGACCGTATGGCCCGTACCGGATACGGGGCGGCACCGTCTCGGCTTTGCCGCGGGCCGAGACACTCCTGTGGGAAGGTCTCCAGACGGAGCAAAAGGCTAACGGGGTCGTTAAGGCACAGCCACGGCCGGCCGAGTGGCTTCCCGGAAGGAGTGGGTTGTTCGGGGCCAGCAGCAAAGCCGCCGTGCTAGCAGTAAGCAGACCCCGACAGCAATCAGGCCAGCAAGAGATCCGTCGTATCTACGAGGCTATCAGTGTCCTACAAAACAGAGGCAACAGAGTGTCACTATTCTGGCTCCCGGCTGGGGTAAAGTCGAAGCTCGTCAAGGAGGCCAAGGCAGCGGCAAAGGAGAGTACCCAACAAGGGAAAACACCTAGGAAGAAGCCAGCCAGGGCTTTCTCAACCACGCTTAGGAACGCGTTACAGAGGGTACAGGAGACGAACCCCGGAATACCAGAGTGGGTCGGAAAGTTCTCAAAGAGAGTCGACTCGGCTCTGCCAGGAAAGCACACACGGCAACTGTACGATTCATTTTCATGGAAGCAGGCCAGCACACTGGCCCAGCTGCGGACGGGGATGGCAAGGCTCAACTGGTACCTGCACCAGATCAGGGCGGCCGCCTCGGATCAATGTGCATGCGGACAAGCAACAGAGACGGTTGAGCATTTTCTCTTCCGGTGCACCCAATGGACAGCACAACGCGCACCGATGATCCAACGGACTGATACGCACAGAGGTAACCTGTCATTTTACTTAGGCGGAAAGGCCGCATCAGACCCTGACGACTGGTCACCATGCATGGATGTCGTAAGAGAGACAGTGAAGTTTGCCATGGCAACGGGACGACTCGATATGCAGGTCAACCAAACATAGGACAGGAACAGCATAACATCACATCACTAACATTAACCACCGACTAACCCCATACGCACCCTCGTGCCACCGACAGCAGGGCTCGCTTCAGCCGCCGAAGATAGGGACCTGAACACTTGGAGGAAGTGCTCCAAGATGGCCTGCTACTAACCTCACGAGAAATTGCAATCATCGGAAGGCGTAATCAAAGATGACGCAGACGGAAGTGGATTTCATACACGGGGCTTATTTTGAGACTAGGGTAAAAACTCAACAAGGGAAGCATGTAAGACACATAGACGTTAGAGCCCTTTATGGCTTAGCCAGGGCGTAATAAACTCAGTGAGTGAGTGAGTGAAAGTTACTCGACCAGCCGTCTTTCAATAAGGTTCCTGCGAATCAATGCCAATTTGGACCCTCGACGCTACACTCCGGCGGGCTATCTTCAACGCTACCCATCGTCTCTCTGATCAAACTAATACTCATCTTCCGATTTGAATAGTAATTCATTTTTACCTCCTTCTCACTGACCCACGCCGCCAATACCATTGCGAGCAATGGCGGACCCCCGCGCTCGTTGGACGGCGCCCCGCTCCGTGTCCGGACATTCTGAGAAGGCCGGAAGCTCCACAACGAAAGCAGCCTCCAAGGATGCCTACATGCCGACAGCCTCAACGAATCTGAAAAGAAAGGCCGTCTCCATCGACGAGAAATCGCGAACAGCTGATCATCAAAAGACGAAGAAGCCAAAGACTGCTGCTGTAACTACAAATGCCAATGAGAAGCGACTGCGTCGCTACCGATCGAAGCCTCCGCAGAGCTTTGACGAAGTCTATCAGAGAGCCATTACCCAGAGGTTCTACGTCATTGAGCGACGCCGTTGCGGTACCGCAGACATTCCCGAGGAGGAGGTCGAGCTGACTGGCTCCACCGGCAACGTCTACACCGTCCGAATCGGCCAGACTCCATCATGTACCTGCCCGCATTCCTTAAAGGGTAACCAGTGCAAGCACTGGCTCTATGTTTGTCTCTCAGACTTTACCCGTCCGCGAAGAGGCTAATCCTCGCAGGTCATGTCACGAGTCCTTCACGCCAAATTCGAGGACACGTACCAACTGGCACTTGTTCCAAGTGAGCTCAGGCAGATCTTCTCAAACGCTCCACCGATTGAGGCCTCGTCCGACAAGTCCCAAGACAAGAACCGCAAACCCGTTGAGGGCGATTGTCCCATCTGCTTTTGCGAGCTTGAGACCAAGAGCAACGAAACCATTGTATGGTGTCGCGCGGCTTGCGGGCAGAACATCCATAAGCAGTGTTTCCAGACGTGGGCAGCTACCAAGCGTCGCGGTTACAGTACAGGCGAGGTGACTTGTCCGTTCTGTCGGAGCGTCTGGCAAGGTGACGATGATATGGTGAAAAACATCAAGAAGGGCGGCAGAATCACCCAGGAAGGCTACGTCAACGTTGCTGACCAGCTTGGGATCAGTACTCAGAGGGGTAGGTTTGCATTCTTTCACTGTGAGATTATAATGAAGATGTTAACCAACATACACAGACTACAGTACCTACTCTAGATGGTGGAGAAGTGGCTACTATTAAATCGTCACCGCTGCTGTCATTGGCTACACTCCGAAAGGGTAGTACTGTTGAATGGATTCTCTCTTCCTGAGAGAACCCGTTTATATGATTATACTTAGGTTAAAAGTTAAGGTAAACTAAAGATATATTTTCTATGATTATCTTTTTAACTATAAGATTTAGCTTTTATGTATAAAATATCCTATAGTTATCTTATATAATTTACTTATAAGTATACTTTATATAACTCTCTTATATTTTATTAAACTTTAATATATAATATTTCTTTTAATCTAGAAATCTTTTAGAATAACAGCACTAGCTAGTTGTATAACACACACGACTCAGGGACACACATCATAGCAAAAAGCATAGACTAGATATTTAGCCCTTAGTTATCTATTAAGGAGATCAAAAGTATATTTATACTAAACTAACTTAGAGATATATAAGATCATATATCTTATACACAAAAGGTAAGTCTTATAGTTAAGAAGATAATTATAGAAAATATATCTTTAGTTTACTGTTACGGTCAGATATCCGACAGTGGTAGTGTCTGCTAATAGACAGCTGAGGTTAATACTGGTAACAGTAAGGTAAGTCTTGTTGGTAATCTGGCTAGGTCGTAGCTGGCTAGTGATTAGTTAGTCGCTTAAGGCGTAGGTAGCTTATATAGCTTTATAATAAAAGGATAATCTAAGAGTTACTTATGGTAGAGTGAATTATGAAGTTAATTGTTAAAGAGCTATAGAAGGTATTTAGTCTAGTTAGAATAAGTGTCTTTATATCTTTATTATTTGCTTTATTAGAACTAATTCCTTAGAGTTAGTCTTTAATAAGGATTAATCCTTAGCAGGTTAGTTCTAGGTCCTAGACCGCTTATCTGTTATTAGTCCTTCTTATTTTTACATAACTTTCCTTAGTTCTTCTATTCTAAGAAAAGGATTAACGTGTTCTTATACTATTCTATATATAACCTTATCTTGTAACTACTAAGTAATTATAAGGTAACCCTAGTTATATTATATATATTAGGTTATAATATTAAGTCTTTTCTTTAAAGGTCTTACTCTTAAGACCTTATAAGTAGATTATTTTTTTTAAGTTAAAAAGTTATTAAACTTACTTTTTTATTTATTTATAATATTAATATTATATTAAGTTATATAAAAAAATTAAAATTAAAAGTAAAATCTTAGAAGATAAAGATAAAAGATTATAAATGCTTTATGCTTTTAGAGTTTATTAAAGCTTATTTTATTATTACTAATATACCTTATACTTATTGTTTTTATATAAAGACTACTTATTGTTTTAGTAAAAGTTCTTTTTATTATTAAAGTTATATTAAGGCTAAGAAGCCTAATAATAGAGTTTTAATAGCTTCTACTTATAAGTGTCCTTTAATTTAATATAGTTTATTTTATTTAACTTTATTTATAATATAAAAATTAAATATTTAGTAAAAAAAGTAAAAAAAAAAGAAAAAAGTAGTAAGTAAAGAGCTTTTAAGGCTTTATAAAGAGCTTACTTAATTATAGTCTTTAATAGCTATTATAGTTAGCTACTTATTTAGGATTTAAAAAACCTAAAAACTTATTTATAAGGGTTAAGCTAAAACTTTTTGTTATAGTATATAAGAAGTTAATAAGTTTAATGCTTTAAAGTTAATATTAGATGCTTATAAACAAGGAATAGTAAAGAAGTTATAGTTTATATAAGTTCTTAATAATATAAACTAGTTCTTATATAAACTTAGTAATAAGTTCTTAGATTTAAGGCTATTAATATAAACGTTTAGTTCTTAAGTATCTATAAGTTATAGTAGTCTTAGAGTAGCTATTAAGAGTACTAAAGGTTCTTAACTAGTTCTTATAAATTGTTCTTATATTTATATTCTTTTTATTTAATAAGATATTATATTTCTTTATTTTTCTTTTACTTATTAATAATTTATTTAACTTTATACTTTAGTTTATTTAGTTTTATAATAATATAGTTATTAGTATTTAATTTTTATAGTATTAGTTTAAGTAAAGTAATATAAAAGACTAAATAGATCTTTATTATGTTTAGTAAATTAAGTTTAAAGTTAATATTTAAGACTTTTTAAATAATTTTAAAAGGTTTAAGTTTTTTATAATCTAATTTATTACTTAGTTGTTTTATTTTAATGTTATATTATAAAAGATATATACTATTTCTTTTTTTAAAAGTTAGTCCCTTAACCTTTAATATATTAATATATTTCTTTATTTATGCCTTAATAAATTTCAGGTCTTTAGAAGTATTTTCTTAAATTTCTTATAATTTATTATAGTCTACTATAGCTTTTAGTACTTATAGTCCTTACTAAGGTTTTTTATATACTGTAGGCTTAAATCTATAATTCAAATAGAATAAGGAGTTTAGTATACTTTCTCTTATAGTATTATTATAGGTAAATTAGGCTATTAGTAGTAGTAGTACTTAATTATCTTAGTTATAGTTAATATAATATTATAAATATTATTTAAGTATTTAGTTAATTTATTTTATTTATTTATTAGTTTATAGGTAAAAAGTAGTTAATAGCTTATAATTAGCTTTTAGTTATAAAATCAGGGATTTTTAAAACTTAGATATAAATAGTTTGTCTTTATTAGATATAATTTCTTTAGGTAATTTATAGTTATTAACAATATATTTTAAAAATGTATATATTAGATCTTTTATTATACTTAACTCTAAGTATAAGATAAAGTATATATATTTTATAAGTTAGTTAATAATAACTAATTTACTATTATAATAGGTTTTTATAAGTAGTTTTTTTAATTTAAGGAGTTTAACAATAAAGTTTAAAGAAATTAAGTACTAGGCTTTTAGTAGTACTAGTAGTAGTTATAATTGTTTATATAGCTTATAAGGACTATTTTTGCTTTTCTTATGCCTATTATAGTTCTAAATTACTTTAGCTACTTTTATTTAAGTAGTTTACTTATTATAGTATTATTATATTTACTTAAAGGTTTTTGTTATACCTTAATGTCTATATGCTTTAGTACTATGAATTTCTTTAATCTATTTAATCGTTATTCTTCTAGTTATACTAGTATTAGTACACTAACTAATTATTAAGAGTTTTTAGACTAGTATAAGGTCTTTTTTATTATTTTACTTTAAGATAATAAGTATTTTTTTTAGTATTAGGGTTTTATATTCTAGTCTTTTATTTAAGGTATTTACTCTTTTATTCTTAGTTCTTTTAATATAAATAATTTAAAAGTTAAATTTAGAAAGGAATTTAAACTAATAAATTTGTTATTTATTAAGGACTTTTAAGGTAATAAAATAAGCCAGGTTTTTGTAATCTATATAAACCTTAACTTTATACTTTATTCTTAATAACTAAGGTTTTTATTTTTTAAATACTTTAATAATTACTATAAGTTCTTTATTATAGATTTAGTAGTTTAGTTTAGGTCTATTAAGTTTTTAAGAGAAGAATATATTAAGGTATAACTTTTTATTATTATTGTTAGAATAACAGCACCAGCTGGTTGTATAACACGCATGACTTAGGGACATACATTATAGTAGAAGGCATAGACTGGATATTTAGCTCTTAGTTATCTATTAAAGGGATTAAAAGTATATTTATGCTGAACTAACTTAAGGACGTATAAGATTATATATCTTGTGTATAAAAGCTAAGTCTTATAGTTAAGAAGATAATTATAGAAAATATATCTTTAGTTTATTTTAACTTTAACCTAAGTATAATTATATAAATAGGTTCTCTTAGAAAAAGAAAATCTATTTAATACTAATTAGTAGTTATTTAGTAATCTATATAATTACTTTATATAATTATAGATTAGTAAAAGTAAAGAGATAAGACTTAGGCTTTATAGCTAAGCTACTAGGTAGTCTTATACTTTATATAAAGCAAGAAATCCTTAGGGATACCTAAAGGGTTATGCTAGAAAGTCTTTTATGCTAAAAAGCTTTAATTTTATTTATTATTGTCTATTAAGCTAAACTAGGTAGATAGAATAAAGACGACTTTTGCTTTATTATTATATAAAATAGATTTTTGTTATTATCTACTAAGCTGAACTAGATAAGAATCTTTATTGTATTATATATAAAGCATAAAGTATATACTATAGTATTAAATAAACTAATTTTAATATTATATAATATAAAATAACTACTAAATATAATATAGCTTCTTAAGAGGATCTAGAAGATAATTATTAAAGCTAATATAATAATATTAATAGATACCTATTAACGTATAAAGAAATAAGTATAAAGAGTAAAGTCTTACTATATATATAAAAAAAGACTATAAATCCTAGACGCTAAAGTAATTTAGTTAATATTATATAGGTATTATTTAAAGAAGAGATAACTATATATATTATGTATATTAATATAGAAATACTTTATCTTAGGTAATTAAAAGAAAACCTAATAATATTACTATATAAAGATTTTAATAAATAGTTTATTTTTAATAAGAAAAGGTCTATTATATATTTAAGGTAAAGTTTATATAACTTATTAAGCTAAAAGGAGTCTAATTACTATTAATAAAAAATATAAATTAATAGCTAGTTAAATTTATTAAGGAGATTAAAAGAAAGTTTAATAAGTAAGAAGAATAGCTTTCTACTTATATAGTACTTATACTAAGTTATATAATTATAATAACTTAAACACTTATTTAAAACCTTAAATTAACTTTATCTTAGAATATAACTAAACTAATAATAGAACTAATTAAGCCCTTATATAATATATAAATAACTTAAATATTAATTATATAAGAGTAGTTATAATTAGCTTTAAGAAATATACTTCCTAGAATAAGATTCATATAAGAGGTTAAGAGTTTTCTATAAATCCAGGGTTATATAATACCTTTATATTAAAGAGATAATATCTATAACTTATTACTAAGACAAATAATCTAGAATAGATTATATAAGCTAACTATAATTTTAATCTTTTAAAAGGGATAAAGAAAG